GGAGCAGCCACAACTTCTGGAAGCAAGTCATTCCAATGATTAATTGTCCTAACTGTTGGGAAATTTCTTCTTAGTTCTAGGTTGGATACCTCCTTGATTAGTTTCCATCTGTTGCTTCTTGTCCTGCCTTCAGGTGCTTTGGAGAATAAGTTGGCCTAAACAGAACAGAACAGTACAGTACAGTACAGTACAGAATAGAATATTATGAAAGGCTAAAATAACCAAAGAGTTAAATCAAAGTCATCAAAGCAAGAAAGCCATGTAAACGGAGCTGCTAAATAAAAGCAAAGTGAAAGTAAAGATGCAAGCAAAAATAAAAGACACCTTGAACTTAGTAGGAAGGATTCCCCAACAGCACAGTTTTTAAACATGGTCCCCAAAACCGTCAAGAAGTTCAGTTTGGTTTCAGGAGATTCTTCCAAACATCAGTGATGTCTCACCTCATGGAAGTGTAAGACTCTCTCTCTCTTCCTAAATGATCTAGTAGTAGGTTGGGCTGATTCCAATCAGAGCAGTGATCCTGCAGCCGTAAAGTTTTATTAGTTAAAACCAGCACTTTAATTGATGATCACCATCCAGGGCAGTGATGGCGAACCTTTTAGAGACCGAGTGCCCAAACTGCAACCCAAAACCCACTTATGCATTGTCGGGTGCCAGGTGGGTGTGGCCCATTGGGTGGGTGTGGCCCATTGGGTGGGCCTGGCTGCGGTGGTAACGGCAGACTGGGTGGGACTGAAAAGTTCAATCAATCAGTTCCAACTTTGCAAGATCTTTTTTTTTCCCGCGAGAAGTTGAAATTGACTGATTGATTGAACCTTTTTTTTTTTTGCACACGGTGGCGGAGGCCTAAAGTGAAAAGGTTTTATAAAACCCAGCTGAAGGCCTAGGACTGGGGCAACAGCACGCGTGCCCACAGAGAGGGCTCTGAGTGCCGCCTCTGGCACCCGTGCCATAGGTTCGCCACCACTGATCCAGGGTATGTAGCACATTGTGTGCAGTTAGCAACTGGGTTTCTCTATTCTAGAGCAAGTGAAAGCAGAGGGTTGAGCTAGATAACCTCCCAACTCTGTTATTCTATGTTCTGTGTTGTTTTAAATGTCTCCAAATAGATTAGAATAGAATTTTTTATTGGCCAAGTTTGGCTGGACACATAAGGAATCTCTCTCCTCAGCATACATACAAGTAATAGTGATAATCATGATCATAAACAACATGAAAATACATTCATCATAAATCATGATGCAATACTTAGTGATAATCATAGAATACTAGCTAAGCAAATAACATAAATCATACTAAGGTACTACAAAAAAGGCAATATAAATTGTAAGATACAAGCAACAAAGTTAAAGACATAAGAAGATGAAGATGATAGGTAATAGGACAGATGAGGAGTATCATTATAGTAATGCAGCTTTACTAAGTAGTTTGACAGTATTGTAGGAGTTAGTTGTTAGTTGGTAAGTTAGTTGTTAGTCTTCCAGATTGTCCTCAATTTGCAATAGTTCATTTAGTGACTGTTTGAAGTTACAATGGCAGTGAAAAAAGTAACTTAGGGCTGTTTTCACACTTACAACCATTGTAGCATCCCAAAAGTCAGGTGACCAAAATTTGCACACTTGGCAAATGGCTCATATTTATGATGGCCGCAGCATCTCGGCATCATGTGATCACCCCTTGTGATCTTCTGAGAAGCAAAGTCAATGGGGAAGCCAGATTCTCTTAACAACTAACAACTGTAGTGATTCACCTAACAACTGGGCCAAGAAAGGTCATATGATGGGGGAAAACTCACAACTGTCTTGCTCAGCAATGAAAATAATAATATTGGGTTCAATTGTAGTCATATGTCAAGGACTACCTGTATAAGGTGGTATAGCGATCCAACTTTTTAGATTTTTATTTGCTATGCTAACTTTCTCTCTCTCTCCCTCTTTCTCTCTCTTTCTCTCTCTCTCTCTCTCTCTCTCTCTCTCTCTCTCTCTCTCTCTCTCTCTCTCTCTCTCTCTCTCTCTCTCTCTCTCTCTCTCTCTCTCTCTCCCTCCTTCCCTCTTTCTCCCCCCTCTTTCTCTCTCTCTTTTCTCTCTTTGTCTCTCCCTCTTTCCATCTCTTTCTTTCTCTCTCTCTTTCTCTCTCTCTCTCTTTCCCTTTCTCTCCCTTCCCCTCTCTTTCTCCCCTTCTCTCTCTCTTTTCTCTCTCTTTCCCTCTTCCCCCTCTTTCTCCCTCTCCCTCTTTTCTCTCCCTCTTTCTCTCTCTTTTTCTCTCTTGCTCTCTCTCTGTTTCTCTCTCTCTCTCTCTTCATCTCTCTCTCACACACACACTCTTTCTCTCTCTCTCTTTGGTAAACTGCCAAGATTCCAGTAGCTGGCAATATCTTAATTAGTCCAAGAAAGATCAGTTTCAGATAAGATGAGATGAGATTTAGAAGGAGGAGAGAATAGATAAATAACTGGGTGTCTAAAGGAAAGTCTTGAGTGGGTAGAAGAGGATTGATTGGGTGAGACTTTGAAGTAATTGAGAAATGGGCAAAGTGAGATAACACATAGAAGAGAGAAGGAGTGATGCAAACTGCCCAGCAGAGCCAAAAGTTAGATTTATCTAATCTGCAGGTGGAACACAACATTTTCCAGGAAGAGAAACAACAGGTACAAGACTCAGAAGCTTGGAAGAGAATGTTTATTGCTCAGGGTTGAACTATGGGGTCCTTGGTGGTTTCTGGGGCTACCCACACAGAAGCTACAGCTGGCCCAGAATGCAACAATGATGGTGTAGGTAGTCCTTGACTTACAACCATTCGTTTAGTAACTGTTTGAAATTACAATGGCTGTGGGAAAAAGTGACTTACGATCATTTTTCACACTTAGGACCGTTGTAGCATCCCCTTGGTCACTTGATCAAAATTCAGACACTTGGCAACTGGCTCATATTTATGATGGTTGCAGTGTCCCAGGGGTCATGTGATCTCCTTTTTGCAACCTTCTGACAAGCAAAGACAATGGGGAAAGCCAGATTCCCTTAACGACTGTGTGACTATCTTAAACACTGCAGTGATTCACTTAACAACTGTGACAAGAAAGGTCGTAAAATGAGGCAAAACTCACTTGATAATTGTCTCGCTTAACAACAGAAATTTTGGGCTCAATTGTGGCCGTAAGTCGAGGACTATCTGTACTTTCAGATTTTGCTCGATAAATCAATGAACAAATGTTATATATATATATATATATATATATATATATATATATGTTTTCTGAGGTTTTCGCGGGTGTTTGTATGTAGGTCTTTAGTTATNATATATATTTACTCCTTTGGTTTGTTATTGTTCTGTTGCTAAGTTGCATATCAACACCCCCCCCATCCTCCACTGTCCCCTGGAATCTGTCCAAATTCATGCTCTTTGCGTCAATGACCCTATCTAACCATCTCATCCCCTGCTGTCCCCTTCTCCTTCTGCCTTCCATCTTTCCCAACATCAGGGTCTTCTCCGAGGAGTCCACTCTCTTTTCATTTGGTGGCCAAAGTATTTGGACTTTGACTTCGTGATCTGTCCTTCCAAAGGAAACTCAGGGTTGACTTGCTTTAGCGTTGACAGATTGGATCTCCTTGCAGCCCAAAGGATTCACAAGAGTCTTCTCCAACACTGCAAGTTGAAAGGATCAATTTTTTGACATCTCAGGGGCTGCCCCAAAGAAGAGGGCGGGTCCACCTATTTTCCAAAGCAGCTGAAGACAGGACAAGAAACAATGGATGGAAACTAATCAAGGAGAGAAGCAACGTAGAACTAAGGAGAAATTTCCTGACAGTGAGAACAATTACAGATAGCCTTCGGTTTACGACACAATTGAGCTGAACATTTCTATGGCTAAGCAAGACAGTTGTTGTGAATTTTGTTCCATTATACGAGTGAATCTGGTTTCTCAATTAACTGTGCTTGTCAGAAGGTCGCAAAAGAGGATCACATGACCCTGAGACACTGCAACCATCATAAATATGAGTCAGTTGTCAAGCATCTGAAATTTGATCACCTGACCATGGGGGTGCGGCAATGGTTGTAAACGTGAAAAATAGTCACAAGTCACTTTTTTCAGTGCTGTTTTAAGTTCAGGACTATCTGTAATCAGTAGAATGGCTTGCCTCTAGAAATTGTGGATGCTCCATTGCTGGAGGTTTGTAAAGAAAAAATTGGACAACCATCTGTAAGAAATGTATAAAGTCTCATCCTTGAGCAGGGGGTTGGATTAGAAGGTCCCTTCCAACTCTGTTATTTGGTGCTCAGCTGTCTTTAGGGTCCAGCTCCCACAGCCTTACATTACTCGTGGGAAAACCTTAGATTTGACTATCTTGAGTAATAAGCTAGGTGGTTTAAGAACTTGTATGCTTCAGGCCATAATTACCGTACACAGAACTACTGAACGTACAAAGCTTCCCAAACTTTTAAGTATCACTTAATGGGAACCATTTGGGTCTTGCTGTTCTCAGCCAAGCTGGAACCAAATTTCCTAACTTTGGTCCAGTGAAAATAATGTGAAACCCTACAGCACAGTGTGTATCTAAGAACTGTGTTTCTCAATCTTACTAATTTTTAAAATGATACGATCTTAAAGCTGTTGCAGTTGGGAAACATTGCCCTAAAGCTGGAAGTCTAGATCCAAATTCCGAGAGTTGAATTATGATGATCTGAGATGATCTGGGGAGAACATGCCCAGTGAAGACCCCCTAGAATTCTAGGATGAGAACTACTTTTTCTCCTTCTCCATTTGTCACTGAGATTTCAAGGGCACCAAAACATCTTGACTTGAAAAGATTTAGAAGCAACTGAGGGAGTCTGGAATGTTGCTCACAATTTCAGTGACAGGAAAACCACAACGGCTTGGATTACCTCACAGGTGGAATTAGGCAGTCCCATGCTGAGCTGCCCTATGACTGGATGGTTTATAAATGCTGGTTGCCCTGTGCACCAGATCAGTTCATCTACCCAGAGCTGTTCTCACATGCTGGTGATGAAGATGTGGGAGACGGCTCTTTGTGCTCTCCTGTCCACCCTCATTTCCCTCATCTTTGGTGGACTCTACACAATTGGAGTGTTTCGCCAGAAGAGATCAAAGGAACCACCTTTGGACAAGGGTTTTATTCCATGGTTAGGTCATGGGCTAAGTTTTGGCAAACACCCCGTCCCATTTTTGGAAAAGATGAAGAAGAAACATGGAGATATCTTCACAGTGTTGGTTGGAGGTCAGTATATCCATGTTTTGATGGATCCTCACATGTATGGATTTATCTTCAAGAAATCAAAAAACAAGCTGGATTTTGGAGTCTTCGCGACCAACATTGTCTCGAATGTGTTTAATTTCCAACTGACCACCACTCATCATAAGATTGCGGAAACTGGCAGCAAGAAGTATCTCCAAGGGAAGAGTCTAGTTGCCCTCAATCAAATTTTTATGCAGAATCTGAAGAAAATCTTGCTTGATTCGGCTGAAGAGAAGAAATGGCATCAGGAAGGTCTATGGCGCTTCAGCTACAAAGCCATCTTCCATGCTGCTTTCCTGTCATTGTTTGGCGCTGTGCCAGAGTTAGAGGTCAACAGCAAAGAAAACACCAAGGAAGGAAGGTGTAAATCCTATGAGAAGTTCTTTGAGGACTTCCAGCAATTTGATGAATTCTTTCCGCAAATGATCGTCAACAAAATGGATTCCAAAACTAAGAAGGAGATCCAGAGGCTGAAGGACTACTTTTGGGATCTCCTGTCTGTCAAGAAGATAGACAAGAGGGAAGACATCAGCATTTGGTTAGCGGACCAAGATCAACAGCTGGCTGAAGCTGGGATGACTGAGAAGATAAGAACTCAGGTCCAGTTTCTTTTCCTATGGGCTTCTCAAGCCAACACGGGTCCGGTGACTTTCTGGCTGCTTGCATATCTTTTGAAACATCCCAAAGCCATGAAGGCAGTAAGGGAAGAGGTAGAACAAGTGCTAAAAGAGATCGGTCAAGAAGAAAACCTCATGAACCTGTCATTGAAAGCCATCAAGACTCCTCTCCTTGACAGTGCAGTGGAAGAAGTTCTCCGCTTGAAAGCCGGTTCTTTCGTATTTAGGAGCGTGATGGAGGACCTCAACCTCCAGATGGACAACGGAAAAGAATATAGCCTTCGGAAAGGCGACCATCTTCTTCTCTTCCCTTTCCTGGGACTACACATGGATCCGGAAATCTACCCTGAGCCTCAAATCTTCAAGTATGACCGCTTCTTGAGCCCCGAGGGCAAGAGAAAAGAATTCTTCAAAAATGGTAAAAAGTTGAAAACTTGTGTCATGCCCTTTGGAGGTGGACCTTCAATGTGTCCCGGACGCTTCTTTGCGGTCAGCGAAATGAAACTATTCACCATCCTGATGCTCACCCACTTCGACATGGAGCTTGTCAACCCAGAAGAAGAATTGCCTTCTTCAATTGAAAACCGCATCTTGGTTGGGACGGCGCATCCAATGCGCGACATCGATTTCAAATATCGACGGCGTCTCTAAAGTAACAAACTCAGGGTATAAACCTGAGACTTTATAGGAGAAGGGGAGAAAAAATTAAGGTTGCCTCTAGACTCGTCTTCATATGCTACACAGGTAGTCTTGACACACGACTGCAACAGAGCTTGCCTGTTGAAGTCATTTGTCATAACAGTCACAAAATGTGTCAATCATGTAAATGATCTGATTTTATGACCTTTTTGGCTATGGTCATTAAGTACCACCAATGGTTTGCTCTGGATACGGTTTTGCCAAAAACCAGAAATAAGTGATGGTTTTTCGTAAAACCATAGTAAACCTGGTTAGAATGCTGCAAATGCCACTAAATGTTCATGGGAAGGAGGTCAAAAAAGTCAAAATGTCTGTTCCAACCATACAAAAACAGGGTTCAGGGCTTCAACTGCATAATTGAGGCCACTAACTTGAAATTTTTTTTTACCTATTCTTGCAGACATCTCCAAGCTAAAAGTATCGTGTGTTCCTATTTACAACTGTTTCTGAACAACGACGCACTGCTGTTTATATGTCAGATGCAAACAAGAGCCAAAATGATGTCAAAGGAGGGTTATATGTATAACTAAGTTCAAAAGTGAAGACTTAAAGCAAATCTTAGCTTGCAAGTAACAAAGTTTTGCCCCCTGCTTTTTTCCCCCATCCGCTTGCTTATCTAAATTGTTGGTTTTTGTGATTTTCTTTCCGTAGACACAACTCTCCTTTGAAACCTTGAATGAAAGAGAAAAGGGGGAAAATACTCTTTAATCTGAATGCATCCAATTCAAGAAAAATCGGGTTCTTGATTGGGCAATCCACTTGTCATAAAATGTTTGCAGTAAATGGAAGATTTATCCTTTAGAAGTTTTAGCTTGCTGATTTGATCTGGTCTGATCACTTCATGAATATCAAGGAACAGCTTAACTCTTATGAAAACTTTGGACATCCCTGCCTGTTTTATTGCTTAACCATTTTACTAAGAGTGGAGCCAGAAAGGGAGTCCATTTGAAGTCCCTTATTAATAAACCAGGTTTGTTCTGTATTAGACAGCATTGCAAACTGGCAGAATGTAAACAAGGTTGTGGAGTGTTTAGGAAGTCCTTCAGAGAAAAATTGCATAAGGCGATGCAGCCTTCACCAAGGGACGAACCTCAAAACTTAGGAATACAGCTGCCAGAACATCCAGCTACAGTCACTGGAAAACAAAATGACCTGGTTTAAGGTAGGATTTTCTCACTGGAACATTTGCAAGAAACTTTTTGTGGACTTGTAGTTCAGAGCAGAACTGTGGGGTCCTTGGTGATCTCTGAACTTGGTTATGTCTTGCAGACATTTCATGACCCAACTAGGGAACATCATCAGTGCTAAAAGGGAGGGGGGTTGTGGAGAGGAGGAGGAGGAAGAGGAAGAAGAGAACTGAGGGAATCCTTGATGTTGTCTGAGCTTGGTAGTTTTCTTGCAGATGTTTCATGACCCAACTAGGGAACATCATTGGGGTTAGAAGGAGGTGGGTTTGCAGTGGTGGTGGTGAGGTGGAGGGTGACTGTGGGGTCCTTGGTGGTCTCTGAGCTTGGTTATTTCTTGCAGACATTTCATGACCTAACTAGGGGACATCATCAGTGCTAGAAGGGCATGTGGTGTACTCTCATTTTATATACCAGTGATGTCTAATATCAGTACTGCTGAGAGTGGACTTGGTGGTTCATTTGATCATAGAAAAGTAAGTCTCATCAGATACCACCAAAACCTCAACAATCCCACCATCAACCTGAGTCAACAGAACACTTCCTTGAAGTCACGGTCAAACCACACAATGGACACTTAAATATCATGTGATGCAGGAAATCCACAGGATGTCACGCATAAGCTATAAGCTTCTAGCACAGATCAATTTTCTGGAGGAGGAGGACGATGACGATGACGACTGTGGGATCCTTGGTGCTCTCTGAGCTTGATGGTTTTCTTGCAGACGTTCCAACTAGATAACATCATCAGTGCTAGAATTCCACCAAGCTCAAAGAGCACCACAGATAATAATTTCTTTCTTAGAAAAGGAGCTACCAAGGTATCATTATCAATAGCCTTTTTTCAAAAATTAAATGAAAGAAGGGGATTTAGAAAATAAAAATAAATCGTTGCAAATACAGGTGGTCCTCAAGTTATGACCACAACCGAGCCCAAAATGTCTGTTGTTAAGTGAGTTTTGCTCAATTTTATGATCTTTCTTTCCATAGTTGTTAAGTGAATCATTGCAGCTGATAAGTTAGTAACCCAGTTGTTAAATGAATCCGGCTTTCCTGTTGACTTTGCTTGTCAGTAGATTGCAAAAGTTGGTGACACAACCTTGGGACACAGCAACGGTAATAAATATGAAATATGAATTTTGAACACATGATCAAAGGGATACTGCAAAGGTTGTAACTGGAAAAAATGGTCATAAACCACATTTTTCAGTGCTGTTGTAACTTTGAACAGTCACTAAATGAACTGTTGTAAGTTGAGGACCAGATGTATTCTCTGACCCTCCCTTTAAGAGAGTCATATATGCTCCAGGTCCAAACAAATCTAATTTTGGTTTCAAAATGATTTTAAGTGCCATATTCTCCTGTTCTTCACTACATATTTTAGTGACTCAAAATAATACTTTTGTATATTGTATAAAGCAAAACCACAGCTGGATGAATGTTCATGTTTGATGATCAGTAAACGTTTTTTTTGTTTCTGCAGAACTGTTTTTATATTTTGTGAGATTTCCTTTGTATCACTCAGAATTTACATTTGTATTGTTCTTTCCTTTTTTTTTAACTCACGCTGCTTTGGAAATGTGATCTCAGTTGATAAAAAGATTAGATTTCATTGTATCATTTCCATTCAAATAGAAGAACTGAGATATATTTTTTTGACATTTTGCATCTTGTTTTGTCCAGCCAAGTCCACTGATAAAGAAACTCAGTGAAAATGTAATTATTATCATTTAATTGTCTTACACATAATGACAAGGAGCACAGGTGGTCTCAACTTATGATAATTGAGCCCCAAATTTCCGTTGCTAAGCAAACCAGTTGTTAACTGAGTTGTTCTCCAATTACAACCTTTCTTGACACTATTGCTAAGCAAATCACTGCAGTTATTAAGTGAATCATGTGGTCGTTAAGCAAATCTGGCTTCCCCCATTGACTGACTGGGAAGGTTAGAAATCAGGATCACATGACCCTGGGACTGTGCAACTGTCACAAATACATGCCAGTTGCCAAATGCTTGAAATTTGATCACATGGTTATGGGAATGCTGCGAAGGGCGTAAGTATGAAAGCTGGTCAGAAATCAATTTTCAGTGCTGTTGTAACTTCGATTGGTGACTAAACGAATGGTTGTAAATTGAGGACTACCTGTAGGGTATTTATTTTGTGCCCAATGAAATAATGTGTTTTATTCATCGGGTTTATATGCAATCATGTATCATTGTAGGGGCTTGTAATACCCCAAATTTCGTGAATTTGTACTGGTTAATATTGTACTGATTAGGATGCTATCTACGGTATATCCTTTGTAACTCTTCTAAAATAAACTAGATTAAAAGAAACAAAGATACTTGCAATACTTATAAAGGTGATTTTGAATATCATTGGGGGAAAAAAGATGTTGAGACTTTGGAAAAAGTGCAGAGAAGAGCAACTAAGATGATTAGGGGGCTGGAGACATATGAAAAACGGTTCCAGGAATTGGGTATGGCCAGACTAGAGAAAAGAAGGACTAGGGGGTGACATCATGGCAGTCTTCCAATATTTGAGGGGCTGCCACAAAGAAGAGGGGGCTCAAGCTATCCTCCAAAGCACCAGAAGGCAGAGCAAGAAGCAATGGATGGAAACTAAGCAAGCAACTAATCAAGCAATCTGGAATTAAGGAGCAACTTTCTAATGATGAGGACAGTTAACCAGTGGAACAGCTTGCCTCCAGAAGTTGTGAGTGCTCTAACACTGGAGGTTTTTAAGAAGAGACTAGACAATCACTCTCTGAAATGGGGACTGGACTAGAAGACCTCCAAGGTATCTTCCAGCTCTATTCTGGTTAGTTGGTTCCTGTGAAGTTCCAGATTATGTGTCAGATTGCTCTCATGTTATTCTGGCTCTTTCAGAGTTTTATTTTCTAATTTCAGAGTATCTGTTTGATCTCTGAGTTCATGCACTGAGATCATGTATCATAATCCAGCTTTCTGACGGTATCAGTGCTAGGAGGGAGTGAGGTTTGTGAAGAGGAGGAGAGAAGCCAACAGAAGCATGCTTATTTTGATTTTCCCAAGTTTCATTTCACAGAATAACAGAGTTAGAAGGGATCTTGGAGATCTTCTAGTCCAACCCCTGCTCAAGCAGGAGGTACTGCATCAGGGCTCCCCAGCACCCAGATTATGGCCAGTACCAGGCTTGAGCCATTTGGAACCAGGCCATGGAATGTGTGCACACTTCAGTTGTGCAAGCGGGCACAGGTGCCCACCACTCGTGTAAATGGAGCTGCAGGCGTGTGTGTGCTTGCCCACTGCTCACAGGGAACCATCCCTTCTCTGTCCACCCCGCCAGTTCACAAAGCCACAAAGGTTGGGGACCTCTGCCCCACATAATTCCAGAAAAATGACTGCCCAATCTCTTCTTGAAAACCTCCAATGATGGAGAATGTGATGCAAACATTGACTTGCACAACTCTTGTTATACACCACATATGCATAGACAAACATTCCCACTTGCCTAACGTTGGTTTCTTGCTGGTGGCATCCTAGGAATAATTTAGTTATTCGAATAAAGGCAAGAAACTGCCAGCGAGGGCTTATGAGAAACAGCCTTAGAGAACAAACTGTCATGATTATTAATTGTAGAGTATGATAAAAAGAAGCAAAACCTACAACTGCCAAAAATTAAGGTGCAGAGAATAAGGGAACATGGTGATAATTCTTCCTGTATGCATAGATGTAGAAGGGGCGTTGTCTTACCTGAACGCCTTTTCTCAGCACGGAGAAACCAT